AGCACCACATTCTATTTCCAAACACTTGGTCAAGTTTAATAATGCGAAACAACTTTTCTGTTATTATTTTATCAGCATTCATCACTTCGCAGCTTTTCCGAGATATGTATATTTTGTGATCATTTAGTTTTTGTTTGTTTATAATCTTATTCTTTCAATATTCAAAATAATTTGATTTGTTTATAGAATTCATAGTTCAGTGATGAACAATATTGGTCTTTTGTATCATACCAGAGTTCAAGTTAATAGAGTGCAAAAAAGTTAAACTCCGGTTTACTAAAATGTTGAAACTCACTTCCCGTTACCAAATAACATTAGTTTTTTATTTGCATCCTAGATGGGAGAGTAATGCTTTTCTAAACGGACCAGGCTGTAAATCAATATTATGGGCTACAACAAAACAACAGCCCAAACGGATGATATGTTTTTGTAACAAAACACAGAGGGTTTAGTGATAGATGACACGTGTCACTCCCTCATTTCTCTATTTAATGACGTGGCATAGGCTAGAGTGAGTGAACATTTCTTTATATATATAGATAGATAGATTCATATGATTGCTTATTAGCTCATATCTTCCCATTATTAGTTGAAAAAATGAATCATATGTAATATGGCGAACGTATGATTTGGATAAAACAACTGTGGGGGTTCATGATTAGTCGGACGCTCTTGAATGTGAGTTAGGCACGTTCTTGAAAGATTTTTCGTCTACTATATCGATATATGTCGTAACGATGAAGAAACCGCTTAACTATAATGACAAATTAAAACTATACTATAAAATATCAAAGAGATTTGATACAAAAGGAATGAAATGGTGACATAACACTAAGTGGCACGTTCTTGACGAGAGTTGTTCCAATTCAATGATTAAATTACTTCAATCCTGCCTTCCCATAGTTTTGTCCATTATGCTTTATCTTCCGTTGTTAATGATAAGTTGATAACCTTAATTTGCTGTCATTTTTTCTGTATATTTTGATTTAGATTATTTATGGTAAAGTTACCGAACAATTATCTACTTTATTAAAATATAATCCTTCTTTTTATCTACTAATATAAATTGTTATTTAAATTTGGACCCTTTCTAGAGTGTTACAAATAATACAATCTATATAATTAATTGAACCGTATTATTTAAATTAAACCGATAGTTATTTATGGATTATAATTTTGGGCTTACGTTGGTTTTAGACCAAATTATATGGTTTGGTTTTTGGGCTTAGTATTAAAGAAAAATTTCAAAAAACATTGAATAAGATTTTTACCCTATTGGATCAAAAAATCAATTATTATTTTCAGGTCCAAAGATATTTAATATTTTAAGAAAACAAATTGTCTATTATTAATAATTTATTTAAATTATGCACTTTAAAACATGTTAATGTATTTTTTATTTTAAATAAAATCACTTTGTTTTGATAAATTTTAATGGTAAATTTTAAACAATTTAATGTTTTATTTTTCTTAGATAATTTACTGATTAAAAGAATAAATGTAAAGCAAAACCAAAAACCAAATCTAAAAACTAAAATCCAAAACCAAAAAGCTCAAAACACAGCGGATTCAAAAATTAAAAACCCAAACCAAAAGTTGAAAATCAAAAATAGAAACTTAAAAACTAAAAACCAAAAACCAAAATCCAAAGCAAGATCTAAAAGTATAAACAGAAACTAAAAACTAATGAAAAACAATCATCACCACAAATTTTGGTGAACTGATTTTATACCAAAACATTCTTTAAATCAAAACAAAACCGAATTATATAAATTTTTATCATAAAAAAATTTCGCGTTTGAAAAACGCGGATTAAAATCTAGTATGTAATTATAATCAAATTTAATATGCTTTTAATATGTGCGAAAACTAGAAAATATACATTATTTTAAAATGGTGTGAATAGTTGATTATGTATCATCAGTTTAATTACATTTATAGTTTTAGTTGATTTTATTTATTGGACAAGAACAATAAAATAGTGAATTAGGTTGTTGTGTTTGGTGGTAGTTGGCTATCTTAATTCTCCAAATATTAATCTCTTGGTGTCACTAGGTTTTTTATACTAAACTGAAAAACAAAACTCATTAGTCAACAATTAATTTCTCATTCAAATTTTAAATTAAAGTGAAAAAAAAATATTTTTAAAAAATTAAAGTGGGGTGAGTACAAATGATAAGGTGTGGTTAGGTGTACCATTTAAGCTGGCATAAAGTTGTCTGTACAAAGCTCTTCTCAAAATCAACGGCCCAAAAACAGAGAAGTAAAAATAAATAAATAAAAAGATTTATCTCATTCTTCTCTCTCATCGAACATCTCTTCATACCTATTTTGAATTTTGCAAGATTGTCCAAGCTTTCAGAGTTAGAATCTCAGGGGGTTTTCTAGATTTAGGAATAAAGGTTGTGTCTTGATTCTTGGTAATGGATTTGAGCAACTAAAAGAGGAAAAAAAAAAGAGATCCTTTTTTTTTAAAAGAATTTGCGGCGGAGATGAGCGCTTCGAGGTTCATAAAGTGTGTCACCGTCGGTGACGGAGCCGTCGGAAAAACATGTATGCTGATCTCTTACACGAGCAACACTTTCCCTACGGTAACTTTCACTGCTTAAAATCTCCTCCTTTGTCTTCTTTTTGGTCTTAATAGTGTTCTTGAAGCTTCTTTGAGAATATGGGTTTTGCAGATTATGATCTTTAGGTTGAACTCTTATGACATGTTATTTGGCTTTATCAGGACTATGTACCAACCGTTTTCGACAACTTCAGTGCTAATGTGGTTGTAGATGGGAACACTGTGAATCTTGGACTTTGGGATACAGCTGGTAAGAATCATCATTTGAAACACACAAAGATCTTGGTTTCTTGGGGTTTCCTCTTTTAGTAAGGTCTTCTTGTTGGGTTTGGTGTAGGTCAAGAAGATTATAACAGGTTAAGACCATTGAGTTACCGTGGTGCAGATGTCTTTATTCTTGCTTTCTCTCTTATTAGCAAAGCTAGCTACGAGAATATATCCAAAAAGGTTTGGCTCTTTTCTTGCTTCTAACATTCTTTGGATAAAATTTAAGTTTTGCTGAGCTAATTGTGATTTTATTTGATCTCAGTGGATTCCTGAGCTCAGGCATTATGCTCCTGGTGTTCCTATTATCCTCGTTGGAACAAAACTTGGTATCGACTCTGTTCTTGTGTCCTGAGAAGGATACAGTAGTAACATTTGTTACTTAAAAATTGAATTTTCTCTTCTTTTTTTTTGCAGATCTTAGAGATGACAAGCAGTTCTTCATAGATCATCCTGGCGCAGTGCCGATTAGTACTAACCAGGTAGGTAACCTCCACAATCCAATAATCTTTCAGACAGAAGCTTTTGCTTGATGAGAGATGTGTTTTTCATTGGTTGTCTGCAGGGAGAGGAACTAAAGAAACTGATAGGATCTCCGGCTTACATTGAATGCAGTTCAAAGACACAGCAGGTACACATCACACTCATAAGTATATCTTACATTATTTTAATAGAGGTTAGTGTTAGTGTTAGAGAGAGTGAAAGTATTGGTTTTTTTGCAGAACGTGAAGGCAGTGTTTGACGCAGCCATAAAAGTGGTGCTTCAGCCACCCAAGCAAAAGAAGAAGAAAAAGAACAAGAATGGTTGCGTTTTCTTGTGATCTTCTTTACAGAAAACAAGAAGAAGAATTAGTAAACATTGTTTGGGTGAATCTAATGAGTGAAGTGTAGCAAAGGATGAGTTCTTGTGGGTGTGTTGTTGTACTTTTGCTATGTAATGTAGACTAATCTCTCAATACATTTTCTTTTGCCTGTGAACAGACGAATTTAACTAATCTTATCATCTAGATCTTCTCAGGCTTATTGTCATGAGCTTTGGTATTGGTTCATTCAGACTAAAATACGGTAGAAAACATAGAATCAAAGAAAACATAGAATCAAAGAATGGTTTTAAGAAAAAAAAATGGTTTTAAGCTATGGTTAAGAAATCTTTAGTTGGTAAGTGGTAACCAATAGTAATTATACTTTTTACTTAGGGCTTAACGTTAACTTTTTTTTTTTTTTTTTGGTCAAAGGGCTTAACGTTAACTTATACATTTTTATTTTGATATATTTTATATTTATATTAAAATTTTAGTTTTTAGGTTTAATTGTAAAATTATTTTGATGAATTATAACAAAATAATATACAAAGAAAAAAATTTAGAAAAGTTATAAACTTGCAATAACATTATTATTTGGTTTTTAAAAAATAGTAACTGATTTCAATTATATTAATTGATATTTTTTTAGAAAAAAACTCAACTATGATCTGTCAATTTGTCGTCCATACTGAGTTTTAGAGTTTTGATCCATTTGTCAAGTTATCGTCTAGTGCTGGTTATTAGGCTTGGGTCGGTTTGGGTTATCGGATTAGGGTGTTTAGTATCCTTTAGGAATCGAGATTTTTTCAGATTGGTTCAGGTAATATTTGTAAAATTATTTTCATGAATTATAACAAAATAGATATACAGAGAAAAAATAGGCAAAAATTAATTTGCAATAACATTATTATTTGTTTTCTTTTCAAATAGACTAATTTAAATATATTTAGTAACTGATTTGAATTATATTAATTGTTATTTATTCTAAAAGGAAATCAACTATGATTTGTAAATTTGTCTGTCCATACTGAGTTTTAGAGTTTTGATCGATTTGTCAAGTTGTCGACTAGTGGGTATTCGGGTTTTCAGTTTGAGTCGGTTGGGTTAGAGTGTTTAGGATTCGTTTAGGAACGAGTAGTCTTTCAAATCGGTTCGGATAATATCAGCTTTGAATTGAATTTCTTGTTTTTTTATAAGATCCAAAATCAAACTGAATTAAAAATAGTTTAGGGTTGGTTTGGGTTAATACCCAAAAACTAAAATAAAAAACCAAGTTAAATCCATTAAAAATTTGAAAAAATATTTGAATAATTCGAGTTTTGGATATTTTTAAATATATAAATTACATTTAATTCGGTTTCAGTTTGGTTTAAGTTTTTTTGGATACAGATAAATAAGAATCATTAGGATTTTTGTATTTCGGTATGGTTTCATGTCTCAGATTTTTGGTTCGATTCTGGTTTGACTTTGGAGTTTGGGATAATATGCCCAAGACTATTGTCGTCCATACCGATTTTTAGAGTTTTAAGAAACAAGGACACACAAAGGGGAGTGAGGATTATTAGCCCATGGACAGATAAGAAAAATAAGCACGTGACATAAGAGAGAGCCTAGGTTGTATCGATGAAAAAATATATAATTTTAACTTTTTAGCTTTTTTTAGATCACCTAACAGAAACCGTCGTCGTTTCGCAACCTCAGAGAAGCTCATTTAACTCCCAAACCAAATCGACTTGTATCTTTTTTGATCACTCCCATAGATCTGATAGAGAGAGAGTAGTCCCCCCCTCCCGACCGCTACAAACTTTTGTCTGAATGGCGTTTCCAATTGATCACACCTTCGTAGATCTAACCAAACTCAACCTCCCCAACAAACCTCACCTCGGACACGTCACCAACATGTCTCCCTTCCGTCCCAACCTCCTCCCAATCTTCCCACGCGCCCTCCGCACATCCACTCGTCTCCTCTCCTCTCTCGGATCCAACCGCGTCGTCGATCCAAACGGCAGCGTTTTGATCGAAACCACCACATCCCCCTCCCCTTCCCCCGACGTAACAGGCGGAGTCCAAGACGTATACGGAGAAGACGCCGCCACGGAAGACATGCCAATCACTCCCTGGTCTCTCTCCGTGGCGAGCGGATACACTCTGTTACGTGATCCGCATCATAATAAAGGTCTCGCCTTTAGCCAGAGGGAGCGTGACGCGCATTATCTACGTGGCTTGCTCCCTCCTACGGTTATCTCGCAGGATCTTCAGGTGAAGAAGATGATGCATACGTTGAGGCATTATCAGGTTCCGTTGCAGAGATACATGGCTATGATGGATCTACAGGTTACTTTTTTGAATAAAATTAGCTTTTGTTTTTTTTGTTACTAAAAGTTGATGGATTTTTTTTTTTTTTTTGTGTGCAGGAGACTAATGAGAGGCTGTTTTATAAGCTTTTGATTGATCATGTTGAGGAGTTGTTACCTGTTGTTTATACTCCGACCGTTGGTGAAGCTTGTCAGAAGTATGGTAGCATTTTCTTGCGTCCTCAGGGTCTTTTTATCAGCTTGAAAGAAAAGTGAGTCTCTTTTCTTTTTTTGGTTTTTTTAATATCAATGTTTAAAAAAGAATATGGTAGGTGGTAATTATTAGGATTAGTGCTTAGGAAAAATCGATTTGAATTTAACTGATTTGCAGCCTAAACCGATTTTTTAGAACAGTTATTATTTCTTTGGGCTCATTATTAACGTTTAATAGAGGTAAGATTCTTGAAGTGCTGAGGAACTGGCCTGAGAAGAATATTCAGGTCATCGTTGTCACCGATGGAGAGCGCATTTTAGGTTTAGGGGATCTTGGATGTCAGGCAAGTTTTTGTTTTATTCTTTTATGCTAGCGGTTTGCCTATCTATATTTTTTGTTATAAAACATAATAAACCAGTCTTAAAAAAAAAGACAGAAAGTGGTGTGTCTGGATTTATCTTCTTACTAACCTGAACATTGTCATCAATGTAATCAGGGAATGGGAATACCAGTTGGGAAACTTTCTCTGTATACAGCCCTTGGAGGTGTCCGCCCATCTGCGGTAAGAGTCATCACCTTTTTTTTCTCATTTTCAACCACATTATTTCATATCTCACAATATATATATTGGTCCGCTTGCTAGTGTCTGCCTGTTACAATTGATGTTGGGACAAACAATGAGAAGCTATTGAATGATGAGTTCTACATTGGACTCCGCCAAAGGAGAGCTACTGGAGAGGTAATGTGCTCCTCTGCACCTTTCAGTAAAACAGTCTAGGGATGAAGCTGAACCCTTTAATCCTCTTCTTTTTTACAGGAATACTCCGAACTTATGCATGAATTCATGACAGCAGTCAAGCAGAACTATGGGGAGAAAGTCGTTATCCAGGTTTGCTTTAAGTGCTTAACACATGGATAAGTTTACTCAACTAACACGAATCGACTAACTAGATGTTTCTATCTTTGATAAATTGCAGTTTGAAGACTTTGCCAACCATAATGCTTTTGACCTGTTAGCTAAGTATGGTACAACACATCTTGTGTTCAATGACGATATTCAGGTATATTACTGATTAAGATGTGATACAGGAGGTAATTTCACACATTTACCAAGTCCTGAAACTGTAATTTCATATACAGGGCACAGCATCAGTTGTTCTTGCCGGACTTCTTGGCGCTCTTAGATTTGTTGGTGGATCCTTGGCAAACCACAGGTTCCTCTTCCTAGGTGCTGGAGAGGTAAGGCTTCTTACATGTTTTTTTTTCTTGTTACATTGTTTTTCTTGACCATTTTCATTGTGATGCAGGCTGGTACAGGAATAGCTGAACTAATTGCTCTTGAGATATCAAAGAAGGTAAGAGCTATAAAGCTTGTGTGCATTTGCTTTGATAATCTACTTGTTTTCTTATATGTTTGGTGACTGTAGTCCCAAATTCCATTGGAAGAGGCTCGGAAGAATATTTGGCTTGTGGATTCAAAGGGATTGATTGTCAGTTCCCGTAAAGAATCCATTCAGCATTTCAAAAAGCCTTGGGCTCATGACCATAAACCAATAAAGGATCTTGTTGATGCAGTCAAGGTGTGATGCTTGTTGTTATGTTGCCTTCAAGTTTTTAATTGGTTCTCAGTGTGTAACACTGAATTTCTTTTTATCATTCAGGCAATCAAGCCGACCGTTCTAATTGGAACATCAGGAGTAGGTCAAACATTCACTCAAGATGTGGTGGAAACTATGGCAGAGCTAAATGAGGTATTTGTTTCCTCATAACATATGCATTTTTTTGTGTGGGAGCACATGGTCCTGAAACTTTTGGTGCGTGCAGAAACCCATCATTCTTTCTCTTTCAAACCCAACTTCCCAGTCAGAATGTACAGCAGAACAGGCTTATAAGTGGAGTAAGGTAAACGAGTTGAGATTGTTACTTATCATGATTGTTGTTTGGTTACTAAGTCTAACCTTTTGATCCACAGGGACGGGCTATCTTTGCAAGTGGAAGCCCATTTGCGCCAGTAGAGTATGAGGGAAAGACTTATGTGCCTGGACAGGTTGGGACATGAGCTATATAACAACAGATTTTAAGACAGATTCTGACTGTTTGTGTTTGGACAGGCAAACAATGCTTACATATTCCCTGGGTTCGGACTGGGGCTAATAATGTCAGGGACCATTCGTGTTCATGATGACATGCTTCTGGCTGCTTCAGAAGCTTTGGCTGAGCAATTGATGGAGGAGCACTATGAGAAGGGGATGATATTCCCTCCTTTCAGGAATATCAGAAAAATCTCAGCTCGTATTGCAGCCAGAGTGGCTGCAAAGGCCTATGAACTGGGTAAGCAAGCAGCACTTGTCTTGTTTTGCCTAATGTAAGTGTGAATTACAAATTTACAAGATTATGTTTCATACATGTATAGGATTGGCGACGAGGTTGCCTCAGCCCAAGGAGCTGGAGAAGTGTGCTGAGAGCAGCATGTACAGCCCTTCCTATCATAGCTACCGTTAAGGGGATAAGCTTACACTCATTCTCATTTCTCCTCCCATTCTTTCACCATCTTAATATATGTGCTGTTATCTTCACTTTTCGTAATAATCTACCTTCTCTAGAGTCTAGGCTCTCTCGTTTGTAGTAGTCGTGTTATGGTGTTTAACATCTTTCGTATAAACATGTGTGCAACTGATTTCATATGATTTTCTTTTTTGGAAAT